TCCCCCCGGGGCTGGAGGAGGGGGTGGGAAGCTCTGTTCCTCTTTCCCAGGCGAATTCCGCTAAGCTTAGCTGGGGGGCGAGGAGAGGGCCCCCATCCCTGGGGCAGAAAATGGAATTTGCGGTGTAGGGTGGTGCAGGCTGCGCACCAGGCGTACCTGACCCACCAGACACCCAGCGCCGTGCGCAGGCCGGGACGCTGTCGGCAGGGCTGACTCGCCGGCTGCCCCCCCAGACACCCCCAAACAGCCACCGCCTGAACGAACCCGCCTGTGTTGCCTGCTGCTGGAAAGAAGTCAAATTTAAAACTTCCTCCCTGTCGAAAACTAAACACGCAGGGGCAAAAAAAGGCCTGAAAGGTTCCAGAGGTGGTGGGGTTGAAATGTGCCGGCGGCGCTGGGCACTGCCGGTTGCCTGACGGGAGGGCTGGAGCGGGTGACCCTGAGTCACGGCTGGCGGTGGCACTTTGGTTTCGCTCGGGTTATGGCACACCGAGAAAGGCACGCCGAGGGAGGAGCGGGTATGTGCTCCTTCGTGGGAGGGAGGAGCTGGTTTAATGTCACCAAGTGAGTAACTGCGGAATTTGTTTCAAAATAAACTGCTCTGAAATGCTCTTTCGGTCTAATCGGTGATGTCACGGTTTGGCTGGTTGGGCTGGTCTCTGACCTGAAGTATACTTGAATGAACAACCTAAAAGTGTTTTCCTGTTGGGCAAATTGCCTAACCCGTTGCTCAGTGCAATACACTCATTGCTGCTGAAGAGGACCTGGGTTTTAAAGCCAAGAAATAGAACTACAAGCGGCAATTTTAGCGTTACTGGTAGCTACCTTAGCAGATGTATAGGCACAACTGTTACCTTTCTGTAGCCGGCATGTGATGTTTATAGGATAGGGTAACAAATACATCAACAGGCTTCCTAATGTCTTCAGGTTGCTGTCAGAGCTCTAAGATGCGTGGCTGGACTTTAAAGGAAAAAAAAAAACCAGTTCTGGAATAATTTATATAATTGAAATATTAAAGAAACCTCAAGTACCTCATAACATTTAGCTTTATGTGCCTCCACTTAACTGTTAAGCATCTTCATATTTGCTGCATCTTGCTCTGGGGACATCTGAAGGCGACGTGAAAGAAGCCTACAAAGCTTTGTACTTCTGTTTTGTCTGAGAGAGACTGATATTATTTGGAAGCTGTCGTCAATGGTATTTTAAGAGTATGGGTTTTTAATTGTTATTTTTACACCACAGACTTTATCCTCTGTCAGTAACGGTTTAATGTGATCATTCTAAGTGACTATGAAGGCTTGTTCTACTGTATTCTCAGAGCGTGCAGCTTAAGCAGGACTTGAACTTTTTAAAATGAAAAGTTATTCTTGCTGGCTTAAAT